GTAGCCCCCTTGCGTTCTAGTGCCACTCCCGCCTTGCTTGGAGTGAAATACTTAAAGAAAATACAAGGGTCTGGATATCGAGATTAGCAGGATGTGGGGAATGAAGACTGAGGCTGTATCGATAGAATTGGAGCTCTGAGTCTCGTGAGAAAAGGAATGGACAATTTTACTAACAGTGTCCCCGGTAACATCAACATACAAGTTGTCCAGAAAATCGACCTACGAGTAACATCACATATACTAAGAAAAGTGCTAGGAATTAAATGACAATTCTCCTTAGGGCCTAAGGACCATTGTTTGGACCCTGCTCTACAGGATACAAAGCAGGGAATATAACATACACAAATAATAATAATAATAATAATTGCAGCAACAGTGATGTGGTACTACCAACGGATGTTGAGTATACCATGGACAGAGCATGTGAACAATGAGGAAGTTTCAAGAAAAACAGAAACTACAAGAAACTGTCGTTAATAATCAAGAAGAAACAGCTAAAATTTTGAGATATACACTAAAGTTCAAATGTTTGAGGTCATCCCTGGTAATTTTTTTATATTGCCTCAAAAATTAGTTTTGTACTTTAAATAAGAGAAAATTATTATACATGGTTAAAACTTAAAAAAAATGATTTTTTGATTAGAAATTTTATTATGACAAAAAAAAAAAAAAAAAATTTATGGGCAAATTTTGCTCTCATCAAAATATCCTCCTTCAGCCTTGATTACTGCAGCACAAAGTTTTGGCATTCATTGCAAAAGTTTCTCAAAGTATAACTTTGGTAATTGACTCCATTCTTATTTTTTTTTCAATGACTATAAGAACTCTTTTGCGTTTATTTTTTTTAAAAAACATCTCTCATATTCATCGCATGCTAATTCTGGGGTGATTTCAAACTTTTGAACTGTAGTGTATAACGAAAGGATAATTCAATGTTGACAGGTCATACTGAAAGCAAGAGATGAAGGGGAAAAGCAGTAAGCAAGGCCCACAAAGACAAAAAGGTCTGGTAAAAGAGTAAAAGACAAGAAGTCACTGAGAGCTGTGATCACCCAAGTTCAAGTGTTGGGTATGGGACCACAACATCAACACATTACGCATTGCTGTTGCGGTTTACATAGGAATTTTTTGCTTGCCTCATGTTAAATCGGTTTTGAAGATAGAGTTATCCTTAAGTTGGTTGCTAACTAAGGATGAAGAGCCCAATATATTTCACTATTTAACCTATAGCTGGGGAGAGAAGAAATGGCTTCATACCTTTCTTTCCGACTCGTTGAACATTACATCAGCTGCACATACAGTATATATATAAAATTCTATGACTTCTGTTAGTCCGTCCGTCCGTCCGTGGATCATAATATCAAAAATAGTCATACATTGACCGGGCGAAACGAAACTTAGGGAAGAAGTACAAACAGATAAGAAGGTACTAAGAATAGTTGGTTTTACTAGCATGCATAGGTTAGTATAATAAAATTTTCATTCATGTTTTGAGAAAAAGTTTTATTATTGAACATACTAAATACTCGTACTATTTTAAAAACAATTTAATGATTAAAATAACAAATACTTATTTAATAAAAATACAATATTGTTTTTTGCGTATCTTTTCTTTAAGTTTTGAAAAATATAAAAATTCAATTTCCAGTTCGCTCTGCGTTTCCGAGAACTTTAAACAAATCACACGTTTCGAAAAGTTGAAATTTGGCTCAAGAAAGAAATATTTACACATGGCCAGTTGTATGTTGCATGCTCAAGATTAAGAAATCCTAAGATTTTATTATTCGCTGTTAAAAAGTAAAACAATAAATTTTATTAAAAATTAGTGTTAACTGCGAAATAGGAATTTTGTCAAAGTATTTTTCCGAACAAATCAGCTGATTCAAATTTCATCGAGTGACTTGCGAATTTGAAGGAAACGTACAGTTTGTAAATCTCGACTAAAATGTTAGCGATAAATTCAACAATATTAAATATGGCGAGAATTTCAAAGCGCGTCGGCGTATGGCCAAAAATTCTAGTATAAAAAAGGCAACATAAAATTTTATTTATATAACCGAATGATATAGCCCTCAAAAACATATTTGCTCAACACAATATTGTATAAAACTGGATAAATTTTTATTTCATTATTTTCATATTAATATGGCTTCCTTATTATTAAAAGGTCATAGGTGAAGATGTTTCTGCATCTTTATCAACCAGTATCGATGAAATGGTGATTGAAATCACAGATCAGCTCACAGATCTAAGCTCGATCATCGCCAACAACCTATCGCTTGACATGGAAATTGACAAACGCACTGCCAAAGCAGGAAGAGTTATGGCCAGATTAAGCAAGAATTTATGAAATAACAGTCAGCTGACCTTGGGCACCAAAGTAAAGTCATTACAGGCATTAGAGGCATGCCACCTTAATACTCTGGACAACGTACAACCTGGACAACGTTCATCAGGCAGGAAAACCGCGTGGAAAAATTTAATCTCCGCTGCCTACGACTTATTCTCTGCATCCCATTTAGAGACAAAGTTACCAACATTGTTGTGCTGGAGTAAGCAGACTCCTGAAGCATTAATCTTCTCCTTTACCAACCAACGTCGTCTTCGACGGCTGGGCCACGTACATCGAATGAATGACGACCGTATACTAAAAGACATCATGTATGGTGAGATGCCCACGAGTCACCGTCCGGTATGCCGGTCTAGAGGAAAAGGATCCTGTAATTATATATATATATATATATATATATATATTCATACATGTTTCATTAAACAATATAGACAAGTGTTGTCTATTCATTTTATGTAAATTCTTTTCATAACGTCTGATAAGCTTAATAACATTATCATTAAACGAAGAAAGAAAATCACAATATTGATACATATTTTTTAATTCTATCTAAGCTTTCGGCTTACATAAGCCATTATCAAAGATGACAATTACAGTACAAAATATTAAGCAATACACGGACAAGAATGTGATGATAGTCTGTTTCTGTTTACATGGATGATTTCCAAGCAACGATAAACACGTGCATATAAGACGCTGGAAGCGAAAATCGCACCACAGCATGACGTCATACATGACCACGTGAGAGTGAAGTATTACGTATGGGAAGCCATTGGTATAAACCAGTGGCTTCTGTTACCAATTATAGACATTTAAGGATATTTGTGTAGATTTCATAGTTTATTTTGTTTAGGTTAGGTTTCAACTGTTTCAAGAATTTTTAGTTTTTGTTAATTGTTTTCCTGTTTAAGTATAGTTGTGTTTTCAACAAGGATTTTACGGAATTTTGTATGCGGCCAGGCATGTTGTTTTAAATGCCTTATTTAATGAAACATGTATGAATGAAAAAATTCTGCCTAAATTTATACAATATATATATATATATATATATATATATATATATATATATATATATATATATATATGAACTTTATTTCAATACTTCATGAGCTTCAGCTATGATTAATTAATGACGAACATGCCATTTTCGTTTATGGTCGGTCTCATCACAGTGCTTCTCTTAAGCTTAGAGAGAGTAAAGTAGAGTCCAATAGTGTCATAAAAACCTCGGTGGATTGCAGTAAGATATCTTTAATCATTTCTAGCATACAACAGTCAAAGCTTAATATGACAATTGGACAGTTTTGCTGTTACATGATTTGTACAATTTTGCTGTTACACCCGGTGTTTGTGATCGAAAAACATCGACAGTTATTTTCGTATAAAAATTCATCAGCACAGTTTTTTCTGTAGAAATATATTGCTAATTGGGGAGAAAGAGATTGTCAGTGGTTAGGGCAGATTAGGATCTCTAACATTGATTGGCAGCAAGTCTTGAAGAAAGACAAATCTGAATTCAAAACCCATTTTGGTTTCAAAACGCTATTCTGTCAGTAAAGTTTATATTAAGAAAGACTTACTGACAGAATACGATCAAGATGGGAAAATGTTTTGTCCCAATTACCCGTCATAGGATTTAAGTATGGATAAATAGATATAAAAAAAAATTACTTTTCTCCGTATATCAGAAGGAAGAAGAACAGTGGTATCTCTAGCCGAGTTAAGTCCGTCATATTTCTTTTCTTTCTTCATCCATTCTATGACGTTTCTTCTCGGGAATGTTGTCAAACCAGGCTTAACCCCCCCCCCCCGCCAAAAAAAAAAAAGAAAAAAGAAAAAAAGAAACCGCAAATAGACACTTATGAACAAATTAAATCATTTTCTTTTTTATTCTTTTTTGCATTCTGACATAAATTTCACCAACGTAAAAATACGGAAGTAAATAATTACTTTACGATATTCATTAAGCTTTGCTGTGTTGTAATTTTAGTTTTGGGAGCAAAGAAAAAAAAAGAAGGAATATGTGGTCGGGTTAATGGTTATCAGCGTGGAAAATAGCAATCGGCATGTTGAAAATTAACTTTGGGCCTGAGCATTTGTGTTCAATTCCAACTAATATTCTAGGGAAATGTGTAAAATCCATCACTTTTCATCAACTGTGGGTAAAATACCATACGGAAGCCACTTGTGGCCTGCTGGCGGGCCGCCGATGGCGACGCCGGAGGTCCTCTGGTGGCAGTCACCGATGGGCCTTTAGAGGCCTGCCAGTGGTAACATTGGCGACACGAAAACGCCGGCGGTCTGACAGCGGGCCACCAGCGGTAAACGCTACCCTACATGCAAGCCATAAAATTTGCACCTGGGTGGTATGCCATTAGCGTTTACCGCTGGTTAGCCTGCTGTCGAACCGCCGGCGTGCATTTCTCGGCAATGTTACCACTGGCGAACCACTAGAAGCCCACCGGTGGATGCCACCAGAGGTCCACTAGCGGTTTGCGTGTAGGTTAATGGAATGCCACCCAGTGGCGGATTGCGTGTAGGGTAGTACGGCAGACGGGACTATTTAGCATTTTTAGGGTAAACAGTCTTAGAGAAAGACAACGTTGAATTAAAACTCAGGGAGAGGGCGGCGCCCCCGATATCATTTCTCATGAATAGGGACGGTAATATACAGATTACAATTTTTTTTAAGATGTTTAAACATTTTCTGTCGATCATCAGTTTCCAACCCTCACTCTTCCTATCATCAGATCGAAGTATTATCTCTTTCTCTTATTTTCTCTCAACACCCCCCTCTTTGTCTTTAACTAACGTTTCAAAAAGGATAAAATAAAAACTAATTCAATAATCCAAAAATTATTTGGTCTTTCGTCTTAAAAATAGTATAAAGATTTTGACGAGAAAACTTTGATTTAATCGAGTTTGGGAGTCTTTTTTTCATTAGAGAAAAAGAGTGAAAGAGAGAGAGAGAACGTGTAAGAGAGAGAGAGAGAGAGTAATAGAGAGAGAAAGAGAAAGAGAAATAAAGAGGAAGAGAGAGAATGAGAGAGAGATTGAAAAAGAGAAATAAAGAGGGAAACAGAAAGAGAGAGAGAGAGAGAGAGAAAGAGAGAGATCTTATATCTATATATTTTGATTTAGAGTCAGTAAGTCGATGCAGGTGTTGAAACATTTTCCATCAGCGAAAATTTCTTACTAATTATTTTCTTTCCATATTCAGTTATGGTTTGTATTTAAAAGTAAGTTTTTCCCAGTTCTTATTTAGTCTTCATTTTCATTCTTTTTTTTTTCTATCGCCGATTTTGGGCCTGATTTTTAGTTGCCCTTGTAAATTAATTCATATTGCAAAACCACGGGTCCTAAACTACTTACCGAGCGGCACCATCACTTCGCAACACTGTCTTTTTCACTCATCACTTCACAAACGTTTCCTTTTCTTTCACCAGTTCGCAACACCCATCCTGTCGTTCATCAGTTTGCTAACCTCACTTTATCTCCTTCAGATTGCACCCCACTGGTTCTCTCATCAGTTTATCAACTTTCCCTTTCTCTCCTTCATTCGCAACACTCACCCTTTCACTCATGTTTCGTGTTTTGCTCTCTCTCTCTTCAGATTGCACCCCACTCGTTCTCTTATCAGTTTATCAACTTTCCCTTTCTCTCCTTCATTCGCAACACTCACCCTTTCACTCATGTTTCGTGTTTTGCTCTCTCTCTCTTCAGATTGCACCCCACTCGTTCTCTTATCAGTTTATCAACTTTCCCTTTCTCTTCTTCATTCGCAACACCCACCCTTTCACTCATGTTTCGTGTTTTGCTCTCTCTCTCTTCAGATTGCACCCCACTCGTTCTCTTATCAGTTTATCAACTTTCCTTTCTCTCCTTCATTCTGCAAACCCACACTTTCACTCATGTTTTTGTATCTTGCTCTTTTCTCTCTTCAGATTGCACCCCACTGGTTCTCTCATCAGTTTATCAACTTTCCCTTTCTCTCCTTCATTCGCAACACTCACCCTTTCACTCATGTTTCGTGTTTTGCTCTCTCTCTCTTCAGATTGCACCCACTCGTTCTCTTATCAGTTTATCAACTTTCCCTTTCTCTCCTTCATCTGCAACACTCACCCTTTCACTCATGTTTCGTGTTTTGCTCTCTCTCTCTTCAGATTGCACCCCCTCGTTCTCTTATCAGTTTATCAACTTTCCCTTTCTCTTCTTCATTCGCAACACCCACCCTTTCCTCATGTTTCGTGTTTTGCTCTCTCTCTCTTCAGATTGCACCCCCTCGTTCTCTTATCAGTTTATCAACTTTCCCTTTCTCTTCTTCATTCGCAACACCCACCCTTTCACTCATGTTTCGTGTTTTGCTCTCTCTCTCTTCAGATTGCACCCCACTCGTTCTCTTATCAGTTTATCAACTTTCCCTTTCTCTCCTTCATTCGCAACACCCACCCTTTCACTCATGTTTTGTATCTTGCTCTTTCTCTCTTCAGATTGCACCCCACTGGTTCTCTCATCAGTTTATCAACTTTCCCTTTCTCTCCTTCATTCGCAACACTCACCCTTTCACTCATGTTTCGTGTTTTGCTCTCTCTCTCTTCAGATTGCACCCCACTCGTTCTCTTATCAGTTTATCAACTTTCCCTTTCTCTCCTTCATTCGCAACACTCACCCTTTCCTCATGTTTCGTGTTTTGCTCTCTCTCTCTTCAGATTGCACCCCACTCGTTCTCTTATCAGTTTATCAACTTTTCCTTTCTCTTCTTCATTCGCAACACACCCACCCTTTCACTCATGTTTCGTGTTTTGCTCTCTCTCTCTTCAGATTGCACCCCACTCGTTCTCTTATCAGTTTATCAACTTTCCTTTCTCTCCTTCATTCGCAACACTCACCCCTTTCACTCATGTTTCGTGTTTTGCTCTCTCTCTCTTCAGATTGCACCCCACTCGTTCTCTTATCAGTTTATCAACTTTCCCTTTCTCTCCTTCATTCGCAACCTCACCCTTTCACTCATGTTTCGTGTTTGCTCTCTCTCTCTTCAGATTGCACCCCACTCGTTCTCTTATCAGTTTATCAACTTTCCCTTTCTCTCCTTCATTCGCAACACTCACCCTTTCACTCATGTTTCGTGTTTGCTCTCTCTCTCTTCAGATTGCACCCCCTCGTTCTCTTATCAGTTTATCAACTTTCCCTTTCTCTCCTTCATCTGCAAACACCACCCTTTCCTCATGTTTCGTGTTTTGCTCTCTCTCTCTTCAGATTGCACCCCACTCGTTCTCTTATCAGTTTATCAACTTTCCTTTCTCTTCTTCATTCGCAACACCCACCCCTTTCACTCATGTTTCGTGTTTTGCTCTCTCTCTCTTCAGATTGCACCCCACTCGTTCTCTTATCAGTTTATCAACTTTCCCTTTCTCTTCTTCATTCAACACCTACCCCCTTTCACTCATGTTTCGTGTTTTGCTCTCTCTCTCTTCAGATTGCACCCCACTCGTTCTCTTATCAGTTTATCAACTTTCCCTTTCTCTCCTTCATTCGCAACACCCACACTTTCACTCATGTTTTGTATCTTGCTCTTTCTCTCTTCAGAGTGCACCCCACTGGTTCTCTCATCAGTTTATCAACTTTCCCTTTCTCTCCTTCATTCGCAACACTCACCCTTTCACTCATGTTTCGTGTTTTGCTCTCTCTCTCTTCAGATTGCACCCCACTCGTTCTCTTATCAGTTTATCAACTTCGCCCTTTCTCTCCTTCATTCGCAACACTCACCCTTTCACTCATGTTTCGTGTTTTGCTCTCTCTCTCTTCAGATTGCACACTCGTTCTCTTATCAGTTTATCAACTTCGCCCTTTTTCTCCTTCATTCGCAACACCCACCCTTTCACTCATGTTTCGTGTTTTGCTCTCTCTCTCTTCAGATTGCACCCCACTCGTTCTCTCATCAGTTTATCAACTTCGCCCTTTCTCTCCTTCATTCGCAACACTCACCCTTTCACTCATGTTTCGTGTTTTGCTCTCTCTCTCTTCAGTTCGATCCCCCGACTCTTTCGTTGAACAGATTCCAATCCTCACTCTTTCATTCCTCATTTCGCAAATCTCAACTTTTTCCTCGACAGTTTGGACCCCCCACCCCTTTTCTCTCTTCAGTTCGCAACCCCCAATCCATTTGCTCATCAGTTACTTTTGTATTTCAAAGCAAATTTTCCTATAGTTTTTGTAATTATTTTCTTACTTTTCTTTCTGGCGACATGTTTGGACATGCGTTTTGTAATCAATTTCACTCAAAGCAAGGTAATAAAGCCACTAAGTCTCAATTTCTATTTTTTAAAAATTTTTTTAAAACTAAGCACCAAAAAGAATTACTTAACCTTGGACCTAACTGCCATATATACCGTAAGTACAATCGACTTTTAAAAAAAAATAGAAATTGAGACCCTATACCAAAACATCGTTAAACTCCAGGATGAACAACTAATAGAAACTACACCAGAATTTAAAGACTTACTTAAGGCCGATCCATTCAAGGATCGGCATGATAAAAGCAGAAACTCCTCAAAAATACTTTCTAAATAACTGAAAATTGCCGCACAAGAACTACGCAACCACCCTGACATTATTGTAAAAAAAGCTGATAAGACCAACATTTTTGTCATCCTAAACAAATTGGATTACAACAAAAAACTAGACCACATACTCCATGATCACATAAAGTTTAAAAAACTTAACAAGAACCCGACCAGCCAACTAAAATCAAAGCTTAATAAACTTATTAATGCTAATAATGCTGAACAGAACTCTTTAAAACTCCCTAAAATTGTTGGTGATTATAGACCTGGCTACATATATGGCACTATAAAAACACATAAACCTAACTATCCTCTCCGTCCTATCATATCGCAAATTCCAACTCTTGTATATCATCTAACAAAATACATCAACCAACTTATTACTCCCTATCTTCCTAGTAAATATAGTGTTAAGCCAACATTAGAAGTAATTCAAATCCTAAAAAGTGAAAAACCTGACAATGAAATCATGGTTTCACTTGATGTTGAAAACTTATTTACCAATGTCCCTGTTAGTGAAACTATTGACATAATTATAAGAAATATATACAGTAACTCATCTTTACCACCACTTAAAATTAATCCTAATATATTAAGAAAACTACTATTAACTTGTACTACTGAAGTCCCTTTCTTAGATCATAATAACAATATATATATACAACGTGATGTTGTCTCCATGGGTTCAGTACTGGGCCCGACATTTAGCAATTTCTACGTGTCGAACCTCGAAAATAAGTTATTTACAGATTTAAAAAAACCATCAATCTACCTAAGATACGTTGATGATATTCTCATGTTAGTTAAAAATACAGATGAAATAATTCAACTTCAAAAACGGTTCCAAAATAATTCTGTCCTTAAATTCACATATGAACACAATACTAATAATAAAATCCCCTTCCTTGACATATTGATAAACACAAATAATAACAAATTTACCATTTCGCCATACAAAAAACCTACAAGCATAAATTCATGTACACTTAACTACAAGAGCGAATGCCCATATTACTACAAAATAGCAATTATAAAGAATCTAATACATCGTGCAGAAACTAATTCATCCACAAAACAGATTTTTTACAGTGAACTAAAGAATATAAAACAGACTCTTATTAATAATAGCTTTCCAAACTATATAGTTGATGAACAAATAAGATGGTTTCTTAGAAATCTCAATAATAAGCAAATTGTACATAATACTGCTTCTACTGATCTCAAATATATTAATCTCCTATATCGTAATCAAATGCATACTAATTATAAACAAGATGAAAATATACTAAAAAATTTAGTAAATTCTAATATATCAACTACAGATCCTAGCAAAAAATTAGATTAATCATATACTACACTAAATCTAGTATATCCAACTTAATACTTTTGCAATGATTCTTCTCCCCGGTTAGCGATTTGCAAAAAACCAACATAGTTTATAAATTCAAGTGCCCTTTTGGGAGAGTGTAACTCCAACGAATTAAATAATATTTATGTTGGTCACACCACAAACTCGCTTTCACGACGCTTGACACTACATTTTAATGAAAACTCTAACATTTTTAGGCATTTAAAACAACATGCCTGCCCGCACACACAATTCCGTAAAATACTTGTCGAAAACACAACTATACTTCGACATGAAAACAATAGACAAAAACTAAAAATACTTGAAGCATTATACATCAAACAGTTAAAACCCAACCTAAAAAAAATCAATTATGGCATCTCTACAAATATTCTTAAATTTCTATAATTGGTAACAGAATCCATTGGTTTAAACAAACGGCTTTCCGTACTTCATACTTCTCCAATTCATTCTCGTGTGGTCATGTGTGACGTCAAGAGATGCGGTGCGATTTTCACTTCTAGCGTCTTATATGCACGTGTTTATCGTTGCTTAGAAGTCATCTATGTAAACATTCACCGACTGTCATCACTGTCTTGTCCGTATATTGCTTAATATGTTGTAATTGACATCTTTGATAATGGCTTATAAGTAAGCCGAAAGCTTAGATTGTATTAAAAAAAAGATGGATCAATATTGTGAATTTCTTTCTTCGTTCAACGATAATGTTATTAAAACTTATCAGACGTTACGAAAAAAAATTTACATAAAATAAATAGACAACACTTGTCTATATTATTTAATGAAACGTGTATATATATATATATATATATATATATATATATATATATATGTGTGTGTGTGTATATACATATGTGTGTGTGTGTATGTGTGCGTGTGTGTGTGTGTGTGTGTGAACGGAGAAATTATTCCACTTTATGTACACATTTTTATTGAAATGGGTTCATTTTGTTCGTTTCGAAATCAAGTGTATATTTTTATGGCGTCGTCACTAACCCCAAATAAATGTTATAAACGACAATAGAAAAAGAAATTCTGAATAAAAAAGCACCTAATTTTATTGAGAACATGTTTTTCCCATAACAAACTCCATCAAATTGGTATTCTTTTTTGTTTTTCTTAAAATACAAACTTTTGACGAGAACAACTAATAAACCGTATGTCAGCATTTGAGAGACTGAGATATGAGGTTATTTAATCACCTTCCTAAAGTGGCAAGATATGACACGACGTCCTTTTGCTGTGGGGCCGTCTGCGGCCAATCAAAAAATTGTTCAGTCCCTTCCACAAGTGTCAATCTGGTGTTGATATGTCACCAACCCTCCCTGTTTTAGTTGAAAATATAAAACTCGGACAACAGATACTACGCAATGATCCCGACCAAAAGGCTGAGAATGAGTTCTAAGAGAAAAAATTGGCGCCAGCTATAGTTTAAATACTAAATAGTGGTGACGTCATTGTTTTCAAAGCAACGCCAGTTGTCAAGCAAGGGTGTTGTTAATTAATGTATCATTCTTTATAGAAAATAGATCTACTGTCTAGATGAATGGCGCTGAGTGATTCATGGAACATCTGCCTCGCATGAAGCCGTGTTGAAATTTATGAGTTGACGCCCAGCAATTATGTTGTGAAAAAGTAAAATGGTTTGTCCGTTGAATTTTGCTAACGATTAGAGCAGTTTTGTCATGGTCTACTTACAAAATAAATGTATTCAATTGAAAGAAACAGACGAACAAGCATCTCAAACACGCATAAACGTACACATACACACACACGCTCACGCCAGGCCCAAACATATTCATAGGGATAAAATGAAAATAAAATAAGAAAGCGGTTTAAGCGAAATACTTTCAGGTTTTGAGAAATGAGACAAATCTGGGGTAGACTATCCTTAAATATGAGAGATTTTAGAGAAAAAAAAACTGACAAATATGGCTGTTCTGCTGGGTTTAGGGTGTAAAGATGAATTATATGAGACCGGCCACTGAAATGCTGAAGCAACAGAAAACACCAAAGACGAGAATAGACGTGGTACACTCAATAGCTATTTGATTCAAATTGCCGCTCGAGCCGTTTTGATCCCAGCATTCCCTAGTGGGACCGGAAATGATTACAATCATCATAGTCATAAGCAACAATATAAAATAATACTCCAAGTGAAAAATTCAAAATTTAACACGTACTAAGATTGCATATTCATTATAGGCTTTTCAGTTCATAATCCGCCTGATATATATATATATATATATATGAAGAAAATATCTGGAAAAACAAAACAAAAATCCTTAAAATGCGATTATGTTGTTTTAATATGAATAATATTAAAACAACATAATCGCATTTTAACGATTTTTGTTTTGTTTTTCCAGATATTTTCTTCATTCTGTCGGATTTATATCCATTTATATTTGCTTATTATATATATATATATATATATATATATATATATATATATATATATATATATATATATAAAATAACTAATGTGATTTCAGGCATTACTCTAAATCAGTTGGCAAATGTTTTCAGTGAACTGCAAAATTGTATTACCCTTTGTATTGCTAATCATGGAGGACATGTGGAAACTTAAATAAAATTTCTATAAAACCTTAAAAAATATAGATTTACTTCTTTCTAATCGTTTTTACAAATTATTTATATCGCAAATACAAATAAAGTTATAAATTTCTTAAAGTGCACACGAACTTTATGGACACCCTATATATCAGGTCATCCCATAAGTTCTGTCCGAATTTTAATTTTTTGTTAAAATGAACAAAATTTAAAGAGTATTTTATAATGTCTAATGGTGCTGAACATTATTTTTATGTTTAGATGCATTTAAACTGATCAAAGTTTATTTCAGAGAACAATAAAATTAAATTTTGTTTGATTAAAACCCTGCTAACATGGAAGTACCCAAGAATCATTTGAGGCACATAATGCTTTATGAGTTCAAGAAAGGAAACTCAGCAGCCGAAGCAGCTAGAAACATCCACTCAGTTTATGGAGAGGAATGTGTAAATGAAAGAACTTGCAGAAGATGGTTTGCAAAATCCAGAGGTGGAGATTTCACCCTTGAAGATGAAGATCGAACCGGACGTCCAGTTGAGTTTGATGAAAAGCTTCTTGAAGCAGCCCTTGAAGAAAATCCTGCTTTATCAGTTGAAGAATTGGCAGTGGTTCTCAGTTCAAACCATACAACTGTTCATCGTCATCTTCAACAACTTGGAAAAGTTCCTAAACTTGGAAAATGGGTGCCTCATGAATTGTCTGAAAACAACCTCAAATCCTGAGTTGACATCTGCTCTTCTC